TAGGGAAAGGTCTATTCAGGCTTTCCAGTGCTTGGATGAGGTCCACGCACGTGAGGGAGGGCAATTTACTTTATTCAGTCCCCTGATTTAAATGTTAATCTTATCCAAAAACACCTTCACAGACACACCCAGAATAATGTTGGGCCAAATATCTGGTCACCCCATGACCCAGTCAAGTTGACCCATAAACGTAACCATCACACATGGCTTTCCATCACCTAGTGAATAAAGTCTTAAGCTCTTTAGGCTGATGCCAATTCCGAAAGCATCCTTACCTGCCCAGATTCATCCCTCCTCACTCTTCTACCGGCCAGGCACATTGACAAAAACCACCTATAGTTCCCTGAATGATAATAACAATCATCATCATCATCGTCATCATTTACAGTTATTATTACAACTGCCTTGCTGAATACTTATCATGTGATAGGCACTATTCTAAAAATGCACAAGAATTAACTAATTTTAATCTTCTCAGTAACTCTACAAGAGGTACCATTATGCTCTCCCTTTACATATAAAGAAATGGAGGCAAAAAGAAGGGAGGAAATTTGTCCAAGGTCACACAGCTGTGAGAGCAGAAGCCAGGCTTTCCATATGGGAAGTCTGGCTCCAGAGCCCACGATGAGTGCTGCCTGGAACACTAGCCCCTGCCCCAAAAGGACTTTTATTCATCCTGTAATACATTTCTGTGGTTCTTCCTAACAGCTTCCTTCACCCCCAATTTTCTTTTTAAGGGGATGACTCCTTCCCATTGAGTGGCCTGCTGAGACTGCCACCAGTGGCTGCATCTCTCCCGGCCACAAGGAGAGCATCAGACCCAAACTAGGCCCCTTGAGTATATACCACCTCTGGAAATAGGTTCCTGAGCATGGTTACAAAGAGCTGGCAAATGAGTTCATGTACCCCTGAGAAGTGTGTCCTGATCAGCTTCTTCCTGCTCTGAACTGTCCTTGAAGGTCCTGCTGCCTGGCCTTCCAGAAATGTCTAGATTCCTGCACAGTTCTCTAGGCTTCTCCCTTGATTCCGTGAGCTCCTAACACTCTTCCAGTGATTTCTTTTTGGTTAACTCCTCCTATCCCTCTTACCCCCACACAGAACTAGACTCTCTTCTTTATTTGCATGTCCACAGGCTGTTGTACGTGCAGGAATCACCCTGTGTTTGCCTGTCCATCTCTCCCACCAGCCCACGAGGGCAAGAACTGTGTCAGATCCCCCACCTCAATGCCTCAATGCCTAGCACAGTCCTGAGCACACAGTGGACTCCTCCATCAATGCTTGCTGACTGAATAACCTCAAAATCCAACCAATCCCCAAGCTTGAGAAAACAATAGCTCAGCCTTCTCCCTGCCTTCAGGCCCTGGAG